AATATGTATATACTGTATGTAAGTGTGTGTGTTACTATATATATATATATATATATATACATACACACACACACATATATATATATATATATATATACACATACACACATATACATACATCTATATATATACACACACACGTGTATGTGTGTGTGTGTGTGCAAACCTTCATTAAGTCTAAGTCATTATATGTTGTAGACCATATAAAATAACATGCTAATCCCTTTTTAGGGTATACCATGGCCACATCTGCCTGTCTTCATCTATGTTGAGGATATTGTTTCTAATGAGCATCATTCCCACAGTGTGTGAAGATGTGCATGTATCTGATGGCTTGAGGCTCTGAATTGATGGGCTGTTTCATTTCAGACGGGAGACTCAGACTGCTGAAGAACACAAACAGGTGCACACACATATTCTGACAAACCCACACACTCTATCACACAGATTTAAATGCAATTGCTTTTCTTTTGCGAAATCAAGAGAAAATCACTGCCTTGCTGAAAATGACCAAATTAGACCAGCATGAATTTCTATGGTTTGTTCTCATGGGTCAAGCAAGCACATCTGAGCTTCCGTTAACCATATTTGATGGTAAACCGAAGAAACAAGCTTTCTCTGAACCAAAATTCCTCTAATTTTTTGAGCCATTTTAACAAAGACTTTTAATCAGCTGCCCCCAAGATTGTTTGTAATGAATCAGACTACAGTTCCATTTCTATCGATACCATGATTATATATTATTTACACAATGGCAGTGAATTATTCTTAATTTATTGATTATCCCTTTGTTTATATTTTAAGTTTTCTTTTCTAAAAAAGCTTTTCAATTATATCTGTTCAGAAAGGCTTCTAGATTTGACTGTTTATGGATCCGTCTGATGCTGGTTAATGGTTACATATTGTAACATGCAGGTAAGCAAATAAAACATTTAATCCTGTTTTGTGTGCATTTTATTTGAATTTGTTTTTATTTATTTATTTGAATTGTACATTTTTATGATTTAATTAATTCTTAGATTTTCATAAAATTATGAACCCCCTGCAGTACCTTCAAGAAGCCCTCTTTGGGAAACCTTGACTAAATGTTTAATGCACTTCATGTTGTTGATAACAAAAAATTGGATATAATTTCTTCGACTTTGTAATTTAATATCAATATGATACAAGATTAACCTATTCAAATGAATGTGATAAAACAAGTTAGGTCAAAAGTAATCTAAAAGTAAACAAAAAGTGGTCCGATTATATTACCTAAAATGTCTCGTGTAATAGATCACATTAATAACTACATTTTTTGTCATGTAATTTGTTATTAATTTCTAAGTAACCTACCCAGTACAGAGTTTGGCTTAGGTGTCCAAATACTTCTTGGGGCCATTTGCAGTTTCATCCAATTATCTAAGAGTTTAAAGTATACTCTAAGCTTTTTTCTCATTTCTTTATAATTATTCACAGCATGGCAATTTCTACAGGTGTGGTGTTCTGCTCTGTGTTACCCGTGTCTCTGCAGGTGGCGTGAGCCTCCTTCAGTTGTTCTCTGAGCTGAAGCATCTGTGTTTTGAGTGAGGCGCACTCTTTCTCCCTCTGCCTTTTCTCTTTCTTGGCTCTTTGCAGATCAGCCTCCAGCCCTCGAGCAGAGATGGCCTGCCTCTCTGCCTCCGCCGCCTTGCTTCGGATCTTCTCCCGTGCCTGCAGAAGATCAGCCTCGGACTGTCTCAGTAGGGCGTCTCTCTTCTGGATAGCCTGAGAGAGGGCGACTGTGAGAATCCGCCACAGGCAAAACGAATCTGCTCTGTACACATACAGTGTGTGTACTTGTTTACCTGGTCACACTGCCTTTGAGCTGCCTGTAGCTCTCCTTCTAGACTGGCTACTTTCTGTTCCAGAGAATCAACGTGTGCTCGTCTCCGGCCCTCATCCGCTGCATCCGCCTGGAGCTTCCTCACCTGCTCCTGCAGCCGCTGCACCTCTGCAAAACACACGGCTGATTGGAATCAGTGTGAGAATCGAGTCAGAAAGTGAGCTGCGAGTTCACTCACCTGCTGTACTGGCATCTCGGTGCCGCGACAACTCCAGCTGGCAGACCCGCAACTCCTGGGCGCTCTGACCGCAGCGCTCCAGCGCCTAAGGACAAACACACATACACCTCCACTAACATGCGAAGTCGTCACACAGCTGTCAAACTTCTGTGACTGTGCCTTGGGGGAGTCGTGTTGATGCCCGGGGCGCTGGAGGGGCCGACCTAAGGCGGATAAGAATTCCCCCTCTTCCCTGAGCTGTCTCCATCCCTAAGGCTATCGCTACACCCGCTGCTTCCGCTCGCCTCTTCGACTCCGTTCCTCTCCCGTATGGCCTTCATTTAGAATCCCCACTGCGGCATGTACATATACACCTGCTGAGGTTTCGATGCAAGGCAAATACCCGGTTTGTCCGTGACAGGTGTCGCCTCCAATCTGGCAGTCTGTGCTTTTGACGCGCTAACCATTCAATTAAGTCTCTGGGATGCTCTACGTGTGGGTGCCATCTCTTAATTACCCTGGGAACCGGGTTGCACTCGCATGTCACGGCTTTGACAGGTGAACCGGCGTGTCACGGCTCTCGACGCCGCGTTTCTGTCTGCTGCATGCAAACGGGACAGGTTTTAGCGAGATCTGATTGTGAAACTAATATAGTACAGGCATAATCAGCAAACACAGGCAAGGTTGGGGGCCCTTCGTTTGGCACCATTAAAATAACGAGGTGTCACGAGGCGCTGGGACTCGCCGCTCCAACGCCAACACGTGTCAAGACAAATCTATATTTCATGGCCACTTACAGATGTATAAATAGCCAAACGAGGTGCTCGAATCATCTATAAAACCCTGCTAAAAGGTTGCCAGAAGATGGCGGGCACTGTCAGCGGGACAGAAGGGTAATCAATCTGAGAAGGGGGAGCGGGTGGGCAGTGGCGCGAGGAGGGCACTAAATCACGCCGCCGTTTGCGTAGAGCGCGACGAAACGCTGACACTTTGGCTGACGCGCGAGCTCCCCGACAGCCTGATGGATCGCTCCACTACACTCCATTAAAGCTGGATGGCTCGCTGCCACGCTGACATAACAAACAATTAGTCACAAAAGTGCCCATGAACTTGCGCGAAGCCTCTCCGGATTCAATCAAAGCCTCCGCTCATGACTGATAAATAGTCCCCGAGTTGCAGGGTGTCAATGCATACAGTAACGTACGACACAGGTCCATTTAAAGCCCATTTTTGTAACAGGCAGAGATGATGGATCGGTGATGGATCCATGCAGATGTGAGAGTAGCATGTGGTGTTTCTCTCAACTACAAGACAAACACTGATAGCCCTTCACTCACGTGCTCCAGTTCCTGAACACGGGACAGCTGGGATTCGTAGTCTGAGTCGGAGTGAACGTGAGTGGCCCGGTAGATGGAGAACTCAGCCTGTGTCTTCACTGCCATCTCTTGCTCTTCAGCCTTGAAAACACACAAGGTTTTTAGATTTACAATGATGTTGATTGTTTACACAATTAAACTTGGGGGCAATAAATATGAAAATTGTCTTCCTGTTATTATATGGCCGCTAGAAACACCATGGAAATTGGTTTCGTTCCTAGGGAACACATTTACTAAAAATATATATTGAATAACCTCAAAGCCTAGTAGTGCCGACTTACTTGCTTTTTAGTTAAGACTACTGAATATTAATTAGGTGACACATGATCTATCACCTAATTAATCTTCATAAGCCAGGATGATGGAGTTTATTATGTGCCCCGCACTTTTCTGATTTCTCTTACGCCCCTGGAAATATATCTTAGAAATAGTTATAAAATAGGGAAATAAGTTGTAATCTAGAGAGAAAGAGTGGGTAGGCATTATTCTGAACTGTAAAGCAGCATATAAAACCACAGCTCTGTTTCAATCTGGTCTCTATTTTCCTCTCTTCAGCCGTTAAGGTCTGATAACAGGCCCTAATGACAGCTAAGTTCTTCCTTCTGAGAAAGATAAATCAGTCCAGCACAGCGCCGTCAGAACTGAAGACTGAATATAAAACAGTTCCAAATGGGCTCGGGCTTAATGAAGATAATATTTCATTATGTAACACTGTCTGTTACTGTTGTTCTGAGAAACACATAAAACAACAAGCTTGGAAAAGCAAGGAAGGTTATATAGCACAGATCATACTGGCAATTTATAGTGCCTTACAAAAGCACAATATAAACAAGAAATACATGAAATATAGACATCTGAATAAAATAAATTAAGATCTTAAGTTAATTTTAATGCAATTTGAATGAACGAACGAACGAATGAACGAAAATGACATGAAGAAAAAAAACAAAACAAAAAACGTAAAACCCAATGGAGTGCTTAAAGCAAAAGTTCATCCAGAAATGAAAATACTGTCACCATTTACTCACCCTCATGTCATCCAAACCTGTATGACTTTCTTTCTTCTGTGGAACATAAAAGAAGATATTTTGAGAAGTATCACTGTGTTTTTTTTTTGTCCATACAGTAGAAGTCAATGGTATCTGTTCACTTTCTTGTGAATTTGAACATTCTTCAAAATATCTTCTTTTGTGTTCTGCAAAAGAAAAAAGTATAATGAGAAAAGCAGTTATCTTCAATTTATGAATGAAATGTTCATTTGAGTTCAATGATTTGTTAGATTTAGTATACAAAACCGATCTGAATGATTCGTTTAGAAATTAGACTGATTCAGTTCCTCAGTTGACTCAATGAGCAGATAACAGTCCACTGGAGCGGAAGATTATCAATGAATAATGACTAAAATCTCACATAAAGCTATTATATTAATTCAGAAGTCGCACAGACTTTACTTTTATGTTGCATTTGCACTTTCTTGAATCTTGAAAGCATCAGTCCCAGTTTATAATTCTATGGAAAGAGCAACCTGCACATTCAACACACAGAAGATTCAAATTCATACAGGTTTGATTTGACATGAGGGTGAGTAAATGACAAAATTTTCATGTTCGAGTGATCTAACTCAAAATAGCTGTATCAAGCCCCTGGTCCAGCTGAGGATCATCTCAGAGAGTCTTATAAAGCAGTCTGTCTACGAGTATATAACAGCTGACAGCTTCCACTGAGAATGAAGACTGACTGACGTGATTGTTTTACATCACAATCACAGATAAAGGAAACTTTCCTTTTCACTCTGTTGAAGGTTATGTGCTGCAATGCCGACAGTCCAGCAGGTTCTGAGTGAGCGGGAGCAATTAAGGGGAGGAGACATGGGCGAACGGCTGAAGGACGTGTGTTCGGAGGTCCTGACTGAAAACAGTTGGATCAATATAGCGTGTATGAGTGTGATGTTTAGGGATTGCTAATGGGACGCTGGGCATCACAGGCATCTGAGAGGAGAAGCCGGAGGTGCTGGAGGAGAAAAAGGCTCAGGAAGGTCCTCACACCTAGTGTGCACAGTATCTGACAGAGGTGACCGCTCTGCTGGGCTGTAGACAAGGCCTGTCCCTCCACCGCTGAGAGCAATGCCCATTATTTCAAGCAGACACCGCAGACCCAGCAGGCTTTTCCACTTTACACCCCCCAGCCGCCCTCACTGTGAATGTACACACAAATCAAAACAACTTCAGGTCCATTTAAACACCAGTCGCTGTGTCTGAAAGGGCCACACATGCAATCTTTACCCAACAACTACAAATCAATAGCAACTTCAACTCCCAGAATTCCTCAAGAGAGCCTATCGCAGCTTTCTCGCTGATGCTGTGGGAAATGAAACACCTGGAAATGCTCTCTCCTCACATAGCGAGCAGCGTGAGGGTTTTGACCTGGATCGATACAATCCGGTAAGAACTCTGAAGCTCAGATTGGCTTTTGCACCCGGAGAATGGCGTAGATTCGCTTCCCCATTGTGTTCACACCTCAAGCTGCACTAACAAGCCACTTTCCATCTGTATGTGCGGTAACTAGGTTTCAATTGGCTTGATATGCAATCTGAACCCAACAGAATTCAACTCTAGGGAAAAGATGAGCATGTTAAGTCTGTTGCATTATGGGGTGTTCATAGTTCAGATCTGCAGCCTTTCTCATACTCAATTTAATAGTTCACAGGTGTGAATATACAGTGGTTTCTCAGAAGCAAGACAACTTTTCTGAATCAATATCTCTGGAGTAATATTCCTGGGTCAGTGGCATGATGCTCATTGTTTTGATGGATCTAATAACTTTTTTATTTTATTTCAAAGACACATTAAAAATGCAATTCATACATGCAATGAATAGTATATACCTCTTCTATGAGGAGCATGGAGACATAAAGCAAAACGTCAGGGTGATACAACTCTCCTGATATCATAATAAAAAATTAAAAATAAAATAAAGAAATTATTAGTATGAAACTATGAAGAAATACATTTGAACAAAAATTGTGTTACAGCTTTTTAATATTTGAAAAAAAACTTGTCTTAATTAAAGTCATGTGATGAAATCTTTTTTATGACAAGACAAGAATGAATATTTATGAAATAAAATCAAATAAATGCTATTGTGTGATAAAAATACCTTTTAACTTTCATTTTTTCTTTAAAAATAAACAAATAAATAAATATGAAAACATCCCCATTACTAATATCAATATTGTTCAAAGCTTAAAAAATTAAGTACATAGTAAAGTCAGGGTAATAATATCATATTTGTAAATACCTTTTCTCTTTTTTTATTAAAGATTAAAAAAGGTAACATTCAATATTACAACATATACAACACATAATATATACACTTAATATCACTATTTATTTATTTATTTGTTTGTTTGTTTGTTTATTTAAATATTGATGATGATGTTGATCTAGTTTGAGCATATCGATAATAAAAATGTTTTCATTGAAGATATTGTTCATCATTGACCAATCAACCAATCAGATTCCCTTAATTCCCTTTGAGTTTAGTGATTCTGAATGGTTAACGTAATTTGTTTGACATGAATGACCAAGATGTGTGATCCTACTTGGGTCACCATGAAGGAACACATGCAGCTAATCAAGCTATGGGTTAGTTAGTGTCAGGTTACCTGTCGGTGAAGGGTAGCAGCGGTGTCTCTGAGAGTGCTGATGAGCAGCTCACACTCCTGGCTGTGTTTACGGCTGTGCTCCAGCTCTCCCAGCGTGTCTCGGAGCTGCTGGCTCAGAGCGGCGAAGGCATCGTCTCCACTCTCCAGCTGGGCGCAGTGTACCTGCAGATCCCCCTGCAGAGCTACAACCTGAGCCCTCAGACGGAGGACCTGCTCTTCCCTCTGTGCCACCTGACGAGACACAAACAACATCAGCCAAAAACATATCAGGACCACCACTGATGTCTGCTCTCAGTAATTTAATACACAACTTTATAGTTTCAGTTTAGCTAAAAAAAATAGGTTCATTAATGATCTGTTTTTATAAACCAAGTCTATTTGGTATTTGCTGCACTGTAAAAAAAAAAAAAAAAAAAAGTTTAACTTTCAAAAATTGTATATTTAACATTATTTTACTGTAAAAATACATTAAATGTATGGTTAGATCTATTACAGTTATTCACTGTATTTACAGTAGTAAGGAAACTTACTGTTAACCAATGAACAGGTTTTTACCGTAGCGTTTTTACTGTTAAAATCATAATTTTTTACAATGTGACACTGATACAATACCTGTATTTATAGTAATGCTGTTATTTTCGAGTACAGTACAGTAAAACTGATGCTTTGATGATTTTCTTCATTTGGTTCATTGTATGCACACTACCAAAAAAGTCTGGGTTCGGTACGATATTTTTAACATTAAAGAAGACTCTTATGCTCACCAAAGTTGCATTTCTTTCATACAGTAAAAAACTATTTAAAGTAATTGTTTTGTATTTGAATACATTTTTAAATGTACTTTATTCCTGTGGTGAAAAGCTGAAATTTCAGCATCATTACTCCAGTCTTCAGCGCTGATGATGATTTGATGCTCAAAAATATTTTGTAATATCATAAATGGTGAAAACAGTTGTGCTGCTTAATATTTTTGTGGAAACGGATACATTTTTTCTGGATTCGTTGATGAACTGAAAGTTCATAAGTACAGCATTTATTTGAAGCCTTCTTTAACCATATAAATGTCTCTAATGTCACTTTTGATCAATTTATTGCTGAATGAAAATATGAATTTCTGAAGAAAAATGCATTTCTAATTTCTGGTACACTGGAAGGTATTGGTTTAGAGGAGAAGTACAACTACATAGCACTTTGTTGTGATACCTTTTCAAAATAATTATCATGTTATGGCCGATTATTAAAAACATGGTGAATATTTTATTACACAATACAAAAGAAACGGATATTCTGTTGGAAAGTGGAAAGAATAAGGATTAATATTATAAGAAATACAGTAAAAAATCAGTATACTCTGCGCCCCTACAGCTGCAAAGCAGGTTTAATTTTTACCAACCTGACTGTGGGCCTCTTTCAGGTCCTCCTCGCGGCCATGCAGTGTGTTCTCTAGTTGTGCGATCTTGCTGAGGCAGGCCTGGTACTTGTGTTTGCAGAGCTCGAGGGATTCTCTAAGAGGTTGCAGTCGGGCCTCTGCGTCTGTGGCCAGTTTCTCAGCCTCCAGTAGACCTGCCTTCAGCTCAATCAACTCTGCATGCTGACTGCGGAGAGCTGCCGCCCTGCAGGAGGCCTGGCACACACAAACACTTATATATAGAAGCAGAAGTTGTGATATAGTGAAAGTGAAGTCTGCTGAGCTGTCTCACCTCGTCCTCCGTGTCTCTCTGCTGTCTGTGGGCCGTCTCCAGCTCTCGGCACAGACTCTCCAGGTTATCTATGTGCTGCTGCAGATGACTTTGACATGTTCATCTGTCCTGGCACAGTGAATTCCATTGTAAAGCACTGGGACTTCAACACCACCAGGTTCATATTCAAGTGTTTTATAAGGACAGAAAAGCATGAGGCAAGCCTATTTGAATGAAGGAGAGGGTAATATTTAATTTTTGTAAATTATTAATTCACAAACTACACTAGTCTATTTTCTTGTTTGCTTCCAAACTGTGTAATAGAAATGCTGTTTTCATTTCCATGTTACATGAGTGGAATGCAATGCATGTTTCTAAAGCTTTAATGACACTATTAAATAACTATATATAATGCAGAATATAATGTATATTAGGGCAAATATTTACTGATTACATACTGTACTGATTCAGTGATAGTGTGATAACTACTGTGTCTAACACAATTCTGTATTTTTAGCAAAGCAGAATTATGAGTAATTTCTATGGAAGTTTAGTAATTTGAGGCCACAAATAAGTTCTGTGAAATCCTGGGACAGGGTGACAGGTGACATGCAAAGCTTGATGCTTTGGCTTCTTTTGGGACTATTTTTATTAGCAAAAAATAAATATACAAACCTGCCAAATATTGTTGGTAAGTTACTTCTAATTTCTAGTTCACAGCACACTTACAATTAACTACCCGTGTGCTCGTATCATAGCCATGCTGATATTCAGTACAACGGCACTCTTAATTAGTACACTTCAAATACAGCTCATTTAGTTCGAATTTAGAGTCACAAGCATCCTATTATTACTCTATATTTACAGACTCACATCTGCAGTAACAGCGAAGCCTGTTTGCTCCCTGAAGCATGTCTGTGGTGCCTCACTGATAGCAGCTCTACATTAGATTATTAGACTCCAGAGAGAGACGATCCCAGATTGGATAATATTATTTTTTCCCCTGGCTGATGATGCATTACAAAAATAAGGAGCACTGTAACAGATGTCTTGCAGGGTGAAAATAATAAATCACACAGACTACTGCGCGCGCACACATGCGGTATATTAGTTCTGTGAGTTAACTTGCGTGATTTATTGGGCTTGGTGAAGGCCCTGGATGGAGTCTCCTCGGTGCACCTAACTTCCCTTGCAAGCATCATTAAGACTACACCGCTAATTGTGTTGTTTTAAAAGAGTGGAAGCTGATAATGACTCTATTAGTGATTCACCTACGCTTCTGTTTTCTCGGAATCGAGCCGGGAGGAGCAACATGGACATGCACATGGGAAAACCGCTGACAGATGAATGGGATAAATGAAGCAAGCAAGCAGAGAGAAGGAGAGAATATAAAAGTTCCTTAAGTTGATGTAAACTAGTAAAAGGTGATAAAGGCAAGGCGAGGCTTGACAACCACAAGAAAAATGTGGACATTTGAGACTTTTTGAGGCTGTCTGATTGGTCAACTAAATTGATTTACACTGCAGTTGTGGCACAAAAAAAGCGCATTGATGCAGACTTTATAAATGAGTCAAAGTTATGGCATATAGATGCAAAAACAGGAATCAAAATCGTAGAAAACTGTACAGTTAAAAGGTGGTTCTTATTTATTATTATTATTATTATTATTATTATTTGCTAGCTAATAAAACATTTTGGGATCAGTTTGAACATAATTCCAAATATAAAGTTAATCATGAGACAATGGAACTTCTATAAGGTTTTCATTTAGTCAGCCTGGCAATGCATTCTAAATAAATAAATAATGTATAATACTATTCTTCTTATTGCTCTTCTTATATATTAAGAGTCTACTTTACATTATTATTATTATTATTATTTATTAATTCAAGCAACATTAACAACAACAACAATAATAATAATGTATTATATTATTACTATTATTATATCAATACTCTACTTTTCATGAATAATTATTATATTATATTATTAATGCAATGTAGACTCTTTATGCTTGATTACAGATTTCTGTATCACTGTATAGTTGATGATAATGATGATAATGACGATGATGATAATTGTTATTTATAATATTAATAATGTTTTACTATTGTCGTTCTATAAAGAAAAATTATTTTCATGAATAATAATAACAATAATCAGTAATACTTATATATATATATATAATAGTTGACTTTCTATCCCATTATTCCAACAATAATAATAATAATAATAATGCATTATTATTATCATTCTATAAAGAGTCTACTTTTTGTGAATATTAATAATATTAATAATAATAACAATCAGTAATAATTATTATATTATATAATAATATATTATATTATACTATAAAATGTAGTCTTTATGCTTGACTATACATTTCTGTATTACTGTATAGTTGACTTCATATTCCCTATCCATTATTCCTATATTGTTGCAATTTTTGAGACAGATGAATGAAGCTTTTAGAAAAGCTGGCAAATATAGAAATTAATAGGAGTTTTGAAAAATGAGATGAAGACTCCATTTGTATCAGTAGCCTAAAATATGTTTTATTCTACGTGGAGTCGGTTGCCTAATCTGGGCAGACATGTTCACATTACCAGCTATCTACCACCAATTCTACTGGCTTTATCTCTGTACTTCCTCGTTTGGACACTTTCTCATACAGAATAAATCAACAATGGCTGACTGTGAATATTGCATGTCTACATCAATGGCATCAGCAACTGAAAACTTTCACATGATATTGCATTCACACCTCTAGGTGTCAGTATACGTCCAAGATGACATATGGGCCAAACCAACATAAACAAAAAATTACTCCGGCGCACCTTGATGAGTCCTTGGAAGGAGTTGACAGCAGTGTGTCGCGTGGCGGCGTTACAGCATGAATCAGTGCTAAGCTCAGTCTAATTTTCTAAGTCCCTATTTCAGTCACAAACTCATCACACAGACAACAGCCTGTGGCTATTTCAGATGAGACTCAGACAGACAGAGAGAGAGGAGGGTAGACACACTTTTTATGGAGCTCACTCGCTCTTTTCCACCACTGATTAATTTCATATTAGATCGGTTGGCCAGCAGTGTTATTAGCATACAATTTCCATGGATCAGGCCCTGCAATAAAACCCTGTCATCAAGTCACTTGTCAAACACACAATTTCAAATCTCATTTAGTTTCTAATATCATTTTCATACCAGGCGGAGGGGTGCAGAGAGAGGTGGAGGGCTAGAACAGAGACAGGAATGTGTTATGTAAAGGATAAACGGAGTCATCGATCAAAATTAAAAAAGCTGAGATGAGCTTCATGATTAGAAATTCTACGGATCAGCATCAAGTGTTTATCAGGTAAAGCAGACAGCAGGAGGTTGAGAAGCACTGGATCTTCTAGAGGGCTTCAAGTGTTATACAAGCAGTCAGCGTTTGCTATAACAATCATCTACTACAATAATCTAATGCCACCGTGAAAGAAAATCATTTTTCAAATTTTGTACATAAAATCAGTGTTGCCTGATGTGCAAAACTAGCCAACATAACACTAAAGGCCTGTTCACACCAAAGACAATAACTATGACTATAACATTTGTTCTAACGATCATTGTAATTCTATGAGAACAGAGATACAGAGAAATCAGAAATATTCTTTTTCCAGCTAATGGATGATAAAAAAACATTAACAGCCAATCAGAATCCACCTGACTTTAAAAACCTTGAGCATTTAAAGCAATAGACGACATAAATTCAGTGTGCACAATGTTACTGTACATTGGCGTGGATGCTAATATAGTTATTGGTTATATTTAGAGTTTTTGTTCTTGGTGTGAATGGGACTTAAGCTTTTGTTGGTGGTTGATGTGTATTTGCTGAGGTGTTTCTGAGCACATGCTAGGTGTTTTCTGGGTGTTGTCTAGGGGGCCGTTTGCACGAAAACGTTTTCAGCCAAAAACGGGAAACTTTTTATTCGTTTTGCCTGTTCGTTTACACGACAACGGCGTTTTGGGGACTGAAAACGCATGTTTTTTAAAACGGGTTTCAAAGTGCAAGTTTTTGAAAACGGCACTGTTAGGCCTGGCATACGTAATACAGCGTTTTTGGCCGTTTTCGTGGATATCTGTAAACGCAAATTGTTTTGAAAACGTTGTCGTGTACACGTGAAAATTTTTTAAAACGCAAGGGAAAAACTTTTCCGTTTTTGACTACATCGTTGTCGTGTAAACGTAGCCTAGGTCAGATTTTGTTGATGAAAAGTTAATAATTAACTATACTGAATGTAAAATTTTAATAAATGAATGTGGCTGCATGAAACAATCAGTCTCAGAGAAGCTCGGTTTGCAGTAAACACTTGTGCTTGAGTTTAACATGCATTTTTGAATGCAACACGCGTTAAGTTTACTTTATTTACATATTTGCATAATATCCAACATTTTTGTGGACAGAAAATTACAGCATTTTAGCAATATTTCGCCAAAATAAAAGCACAAGGATTTGAAATGTTTGAAGCTCAAGGGTTTGGACATGAAGGACTTTAAGTGTAAATAAGATTATTTTTGTAATTATCATTAAATATTATTTTTTTTATTTTACAGTACAATTATAATTTACAATAGTAATATATTTCTGTTCATTTTTATAATTTGAGTTAATATATGAATATAAACACAAAACAAAACAAAACAAAACACACAAAAACATTTATTGTATTGCTTTGTTTAATGTATTTAGGGCATATTCTGTTGGAAAATGCAACTAATAAATAGTACACAACCATTTAATGAAACTTCCACTAAATCATAAAGTGTCTGCCACTACAACAGTCTTTCAGATGCTGTAATAAAGTATGATAAATATTATTTTCATAACACACACACACACACACACCTAAAGCCAAGCTGAAGGCACAGGCACTAATTATGAAAAATAACACTGGTTTGGAGAGAGTAGAGTGGGGGGGTGGCTGTTTCATTTTAATAAGGACAGAGAATCAATGCAATTTAATCAATCTTCCCTAATTAAAAAAAAATCTATATTGTGAAACAATCAAGGTGCATAAACAAGATTAAAATAAATGAAGGAACTGTGCCATGAGCAAGGGAGGGCCTAATTAAAGGGAGTTAATTGGAATTCCATGCCTATGTGTGGACTGACGATGCAGCAGACAGGAAATATTACACGTGAGTGCGCTCACCGGAGACCTCACAAACACCCTTCAGCTAAACACACACACAAGCACTTCACAACAACACCACCAAACTCATGCTTATGCCGGATCTTTCTCAGGTCTCAATACCCAGACTGGCCAATTTGTGATTTTTAGTGTGTTTGTACTTTGTGTGTGTATGTTTACCTGTCTGTAAAGGAAGTCTGTCTCTCGCTGGAGCAGTGTTGTGTTGTGTTTGTTCTTCTCCATCATTTCTTCTCTCTGTTTCAGGATCTCCTGAAGTCTGCTCACCTCCTTCTGCAGGGCCACAACCTCCTCTTCCCTAGACATGACCTGCTGCATCTGCTCTGCCAGCTAAACACGCCACAGTCAAACAAATGACAATATTAACTGTAAGTTTATGGTAAAGCAAGATGGCTATTTTGATCATATTTTATCTTGTGTGTGGGGAATAATTAAGATTCTTAAATGCTTTTGAAAGAAGTCTCTTATGCTCCCCAAGGCTGCATTTATTTGATAAAAAAATAAAGTAAAAAAAGTAATATTGTGAAATAACATTACAATTAAAAACAACTTTTCTAATACATTTTAAAATGTTGTTTATTCTTGTGATGGTAAAGCTGAATTTTCAGCAGCTCTTACTCCAGTCATCATCATCACATGATTCTTCAGAAATCATTCTTATTGTCAAAGTTGAAAACCTTTTTTAAGCTGCTAATTATTTTTGTAGAAACCATGAACATATTTTAGGATTCTTTGATGAGTAGAAAGTTCATTTGAGATAGATATCATTTGTAACAATATAAATGTTTTACTGTCACTTTTGATAAATTTCATGTGTCCTTGTTGAATAAAAGTACTATTAATTTAATTTAATTTCTAGGAAAATATTAAACAGAACATATTAAATATTAAACTGCTTTCAACCTTGATAATAATGAAAATTCATCTTTGCCATCATAGGAATACATCACATTTTAAAATATATTAAAATAGGAGCTCAGTGGAAACTGTTACTCCACAGAACAGGTTTCCACTGCTCCAGAGTCCAGTGGCGGCATGCTTTACACCACTCCATCTGATGCTTTGCATTGTATTTGTTGATGTGAGGCTTGCATGCAGCTGTTTGGCCATGGAAACCCATTCCATGAAGCTCCCGCTGCACAGTTTTGTTTTGTTTTTTTGCTGATATTAAGGTCAGTGGAAGTTTGGAAATCTTCAACTACTGAAATCAGCAGAGCGTTGGCGACTTTTACGCACCATGTGCCTCAGCACTAAGCGACACCGCTCTGTGTTTCACAAACTGACTAACTGCAATGGTGGCATCCCATTTTGCAAATGCAGACTGCATGCTTAGATCAGGGGTTTTTAACCTGTGGGGTTGCTTGGGCTACTTTAACACTTGCCGCGTTTTGTAGTTTTGGGCTAGTTTTGAGTAGCAATTAGGCGGGTTTTCTTGTGAAAACCTGGCAACCCTGGTCACGCTTATTGACAGTAAGATGATTTACGATTAGCCGTGTCAGAAATCCAACCACGGATTGGCATGTTGTTATCTCAGAAACGGGCTCAGCCATCACTCTGAATCAGGTAAACTGGTTATATATTTATGTTTCAGTATAATTACGCACGCTATACCAGGGGCGGTTCTAAACCCTTTTTAGGTGGGTTTCAGCCCCCCTATCTGTCACCTTAGCCCCCCAAAACTATCTTAACGATCAGGCCAGTGCTGCTTCCTCGAGAACGTTTTTCATTCTCACGTGTTTTAAGTCATTCAGAGACGTTCTCTTGAGAATTTATGAATATGAGTTAACAAATCTTTAGCCATCCACTAGGGGGCAATCTGACTCCCACTGCTAGTCGACAGTTAGAGCAGAGTTGGCTCGAGTATCAGTCACGCTCAGTGTTGCCAAGTCCGCGGTTTTCACGCGGAATTGGGCTACTTTAACACTTGCCCCGTTTTGTAGTTTTGGGCTAGTTTTGAGTAGCAATTAGGCGGGTTTTCTTGTGAAAACCTGGCAACCCTGGTCACGCTTATTGACAGTAAGATGATTTACGATTAGCCGTGTCAGAAATCCAACCACGGATTGGCATGTTGTTATCTCAGAAACGGGCTCAGCCATCACATTGAATCAGGTAAACTGGTTATATATTTATGTTTCAGTATAATTACGCACGCTATACCAGGGGCGGTTCTAAACCCTTTTTAGGTGGGTTTCAGCCCCCTATCTGTCACCTTAGCCCCCCAAAACTATCGGGGGTTGAAAACCCCTGGCTTATCTTATACACCAATGGCAGTGGATCTAACTGAAACACCTGAATTCAATAATTAAGAGGTGTGTTCCAATACGTTTGTCCATATAGTGTGCATATGCAGGCAAAAGAGCAGGAAAGGAATGGGCAGAAAAAGCAGGAAAGCACAGAGGCCTGAGGGAATTCAGCATGAAACACGGCTGTGGCACAGAGGCGTGATATATAAGGTCTATCAAACTTCATTAAATGTCTCGCTATAATCCTGCACCCATCACCCTTATAGTGCAAAGTTTTTTCAGATGGAGTACTCTCTTTCTTTTTCTCTCTGTGTCTGTCTCTCCCGTCTATTCAGCCATCTGCTCGGATTAAAATGACATCTCCCCTTGAGTATTAGGAAATGCCACATGAAGCAGTTCCAAACAAACCTGATGTGCAGGATGGAGGGAGAGCAGACTGAGGTGTGGTGGTGGTGGTGGGGGGAGGGATGGATGTGCCCTTCAGCAAAAATGAATTTTCCAATTGCAGTTAGTTCTGCCATGAATAAATAAACAAATGAATAATTGAGAGGGCAACATAAATAAATAACATCACAAACATTTCACAGGCACTCATAAGTTCGGAAGATAACTTGGGCTGAATGCTAATGACAAAAACAGTACATGGAGCAGAATCCAATGCATTATTCACCGCTCGCTCACTCGGAAAAAAGTCAAAATAAATTAATAAATATGAAAAAGAAAATCTCTCAAAGAACTCAAAACACCCAGTCAGCACTGAAGTGACAGGTTTGTCCCATTTATAACATACAAGGACACTCTGCCAAACAAATAACTGACCAGTCAGAGATGTATAAATAAACCAGAACAGCTTCTAGTTCAATTGACAGGTTATGCAAAAGTTTGGCTGCGAGCAGGAGACGGGCCGGGCGTCAGCTCCATCTTTATTCTTCTGAGTGTGTGAGTGAGAGCGGATGGACAGGACGGCTCGCGTCCTTGATCCTGCCCGCATTCGGCCCACGGAGACCTTTAGATGAAATCTTCTAGAGTTATATATGTACCTGAGTTAAACAAGTAAATGTTGATATGATCAAGGTGAAATGAAACAATGTTTACAAGCTCGGCTACTGTTTCTACCACAGATACTTAATGGAGGCTAAGCTGCAAAACCCTTGGCTTACAGCATGACTGACCAAGTTTACTCAATGTAAAAAAAGTATTTTTCAATGTGTCAAAATTCAAAGATTATTTGAATTTGATCAATTTATCAGTTAATGAATTTTTTTGTTTTTTACTGTGAATTTAAGTTAAGTCTGTAAAACCTAAAATGGCGCTACCATATTTTTTTATGGTAAAGTTCTGGCAACCACAGCTGCTGGTATTGTACTGTAAATGTCACAGATCTTTTTTTCTTTTACAGTGTTGCAAAATATTTTTATTTCAAATAAATGCTTTTGAATTTCCTATTTAAAAAATCTGTATATCCTAATCTAAAAATAACACTTTCCAAACATTTTAAGCACTGTTTTCAACACTGTTAATAATAAGAAATGTTTCTTGAGCAGCAAATCAAAATATTAGAATGATTTCTAAAGGATCATGTTACACTGAAGACTGGAGTAATGATGCAGGAAATTCAGCTTTGCATCACAGGAATAAATTACATTTTAAATACAGAGTTCTGGCATGAAACTCTAGATGGCGCAGTCCGATAGGTCTAACTCAGTCTGACTTAATGACATCATTATCACATGGCACAGCTTATTGGTTCTCTCCTGTATTGGTAGCCAATGAGCTCGCTGCTCAACATTCAAATATATGACTAGTGCTTGCTATAGCAGTTGCAGCTTGCTTCCCAAACCCTCCACCTTCCCCAGCTCCACCTGTATAGATCTGCTACGAGGTGATTCATGTATGCTATATGGGGGTTATTTCATGTATGTTATATTTGCAGCAGCAATATTTCTTACATGCTCACAGCAGCATGTTGTGGATGTATTGGCAGTAGCAAGTCTCGGTACTTGCTCTGCCGCAGCAGCAGCGTAGCAGATCTATTCTGCCAAGACCAAATACATTAACATTGTCATGTACATTACCATGCCAATCCCTCTGAGAGTTGTCATGACAAAAATTATATTCAAATAGAAAACAGTTATTTTTAACTGAAATACAGTTGCATAAAAGCATCTTTGGTGAGCATTACAGACTTGACGCTAAAAAATCTGACCCCAAGCTTTTTAATAATGATGTTTAGACAGATACCTGTCAAAAGGTGAGCAAAATGATTGACAGGTGATCCTCACCTCCTCTTGTGCAGCGGTCCGATTCACCTGAGCGGCCCGCAGGTCTGCCGTCAGTCTCAGAACTGTCTCATCTCTACTGGACATCTGCCACACACACAGCTTTTACTCTACATGATCCCTTACCAGACACTATCAAAGATACCAAAGTATGTGGTGTGGTGTACCTCGTCCTGCTCTGCGAGCCGCCTGCAGTCTTTCTGCTGGATGTCACAGTTCAGCTCAGCTACTCTGGAGCCCAGGAGATCCCTCTGATGTTCTGCTTCCTGTAGCTCACGGTGTAGCCTGGAGACTGTGGACTGTTCTTCCACCAGCTGTCCAAACACATACACAGAAACAGAGATGCAAAGTTTCTTAATATAGGTTAAGTTGCATCATGCAGGTCAGTGGATGTGTTTATAGATGTGCAGATCATGGGAGGCTGGAGAGGGTGTAGCAGGTGGTGTATTGATGCGGATCAGTCTTAAACTCAGTCCGTCTCTGATCTAGACCTGCTTGCTGCTTGTATATTCCAATTGAGCAGCAGACTACTGGATAAACAATCAATAAAGCTGGAGCAAAACTGATAAAAGCAAAACACGAAAAGGCACGGTGGTGAAAACAATTACATTTTAGAAACTGCAAAGTACTTTCTCGCATTGAAAATGGCCTAAACTTCTTGTTTCAACATAAGAAAGAAAACACTTGTCAAGCTGATCATGGGGTTATTAACACCGGTTAGCTGCTGTCAAACCTTAGCAATGGCAAAGTGGTAAACAGCTATGGTTAACATCTAATAACCAATGTCTGCCTTACAGAAAATCACGGACTGGATGACTGTTGTGCATTTGATATTCATGAGCCAAGATGATTAGTTGCCCCTCCACAATTTTCAGATTCCTACACCCTTGTGAAAAGGTATAAACTCTGCATCAAAACCTAGGGCGATGCCTATAATATCGATTTGAAATATTGATTACAAATATAAATAATTCATTTAACGCTGAACATGCATGAAAAGGATAAATACATTCAATTTCGCCTAAAATATTTATATATACTGTATGCATATACACACGCATTCTTTATTAAAAATTTTATTCAGCCAGGATGCACTGAATTGACAAAAAGTGACAGTACAGGCACTGTTGCAAAAGACCTTTTGACCTTTCTATTCATCAAATAATGGTGAAAAATGAAAGTAAATCATAGTTTCTGGAAAAATAAGCAGAAAAAAAACTATTTTCAAAATGGATAATAATCAGAAATGTTTCTTGATTAGCAAATCAGCACATTAGAATGATTTCTGAAGGATCATGTGAAACTGAAGACTGGAGTAATGATGCTGATAATTTAGCTTTGGGTAACACTTTATTTTAAAGTGTCCTTATTATATGTTACATGTACGTACTATAATAATAACAACAATAAATTATGCATAATTACATGGAAGTAAACCCTAACTCCAAAACCTAACCATATAGAAAGTATGTGTAGTTAATTAATATTACTCAGTACTTAAATGTATAATTACACTGTAACAAGGACACCTTAAAATAAAGTGTAACCCAGCTTTGCATCACAGGAATAAATTACATTTTGCAATACATTCAAACAGAAAATAGTTATCTGAAATGATAATAATATTTATGTCAACTATATAATTACAACAATATTACTGTGTAATAATGTGTGTGTGAAGAACTGTAGTTTGCTGCTCATGTCCTTGCGGTCCAGTTTCCTGGCTCAAATCTTGCAGTTTGTCCTCACATTGACCCATCTGACAGACCCTGAGCAGGCGTCAGTTAAAAACAGCAGGGTTCAATCCAATCAAAACAAAGAAAGGAAAACAAACAAAAATCATCTTCTGTTTCTATATAAAGACAGTACTGGAATATGAAGTTCCATCATTTCTGTGCTCTATGCATCCTGGAAGCAGGGCAAATTGCCGATTTAAGGAAATGGTTCAATTTTTAGGTAGCGAGCAGCAGCCTATCTCACATTAAATGGCAAATTGGATAACGTGGGCTCAAACCACTTCGTCTGTTATTATTGGAAATGCTAAAGTACCATTCCCCCCTTTATTCCAAACACAATGATCCAACTTCAAATAAAACATGATTCTAGCATCTTTCTGTAAGTGGATGTAGGATATAAAGCAGTCTAATCAAATTACCTACAGTAATCATAAAGGAAGACACAACACAACACAAATTGGAGTAGCAGGGGTCCTTGAAATATTTTGTAAGAATTTGGACTGGTTTCCATTGAGAAGTTTTTCCACAGTTAGCTCTTTACTGTCGAGCCCCAGATAAAAAAGTAAGCTATTGTAAGGATAAGAATAATCTTAAGGATGTGGTGATTGTAAGGGGCATTGGCAAAGGTTGTTTGAAAATATTCTTTAGATTTGTAATTCCGCTAGTAGTGCAGAAACTGCATATTGCACTTTTAAATATTACTCAGTAAAATTATGGACAGAATTATTTGACAGTATAACATTTAAATCATCATGTAATGGAAGAAGAAACAAATCTTTTCCATATTGTGACAAACATCTGAGTGAAATGGATTATGCAGGGTGGGGACTTGGTTCTCTCCACTGGCTGTTGATTGGATGGAAGCAGATCTGAATGCAAGCTTGCAGTCAATTAGAAGAAAGGGGCATGGTTTAAGTGTATGAAATGATTGAAGAAGTCTGGCATACGTCATAAGAGACAAGTCTGTCGTTTCACTGGACAATCAAGTTATGACATTTTAATTATAATGATGATATAAAAAAACATTAATATTAACATGCAAACTAAACAAATTAAATGGAGTATCAGGCTTAGTATAAGCCTGTAATTGTTAGCAAATTGAATGAAATCTCTTACTTACTGGCAATCAAAAATTTACTGTTTTTCTTCCGTTTCTTTCCTCTATTAAAGTGCAAAGATATTTTGTGTAGGTGCAAACTGATGATTAAAAACCCTGTGCTTATATACACTAAATGTATTATTGTGAGTAAAAGTGTGTGTGGAGGGAAGGGGCGGCGCTCAAAAAGCTCATTTCCTGTACTGGTCTCATCTCCTATACTGTTGATTGCACACTAGTGTGGAGCTCAGCTTAATTGGCCCCCAGTGTGCTGATGTGTGAATGAGGAGAGGTCACGGGGTCAAAGTCAGGAGACCTATTGACCTCTAGCCATCCACACGCACCCTGTTCTTCCTCATTTATCTCCTTCCAGTTTTTCCACCAGTACCTATCTTCTAACAGCTCTTCACTTCCCCCCATTCTTTATGTCTTTATATCTATAACCTCCCTGTCTCATTTTCCTTCTTACATTTTTCCTAGTATTTTAACAGGTAAAGCATGCAGTTAAATAAATATGTTGCAAACTGTCACGGACCGTGTGGAGAGATGAGGCGAGGACTCAAATGCAGGAAGATAAAGGCATTTATTAATAGTAAAAAAATAACCAAAACTACAACAAATACTACCCCGAGGGGGAAGAACAGGCAGGCAGGCCAAGACAGGGCAAGGCAAGAGAAACATACACACATCTGACAATATTCTGAGACATAACATTAAACAACGAACCAGCACAGGACTGCAGACACAAGGAGAATAAATAGGGAGACAAACGAGGAGGGTAACGAGGGAGACACAGGTGGAGTAACTAAAACACTAATGAGATAACAAGATGGGCGAGGTCAGACAAAAGACAGGAGAACACATGGCACCAACAACAAACAACAAGCCATGTGCTCAAAACACACAGTGACATCTGGTGGCCAACCAGGGCACACCAGCAGAACCGTGACAGAACCCCCCCTTTAAGGAGTGGATTCCAGATCAGGCTCTGGAGTGGGCTCTGAAGGCTCCTGGACTGTAGCAGGTTCTTGAGCGGATTCTGAGAGCTCCTGGGCTGGAGCAGGCTCTGGAGTGGGCTCTGAAGGCTCCTGGACTGTAGCAGGTTCTTGAGCGAATTCTGAGAGCTCCTGGGCTGGAGCAGGCTCCAGAGCGGATTCTGAAGGTTCCTGGACTGGAGTGGGCTCTGGGGGATCCTGGACTGGACTCTAAGGGGTCCTGGACTGGAGCGGGCTCTGGAGCGGACTTTGAGGGCTCCTGGACTGGAGCAGACTCTGGCAGGGCAAGGAACTTGGGTGGCACCGGCAGGGCAAGGAGCTTGGGAGGCGCCGGCAGGGCAAGGAGTCTGGGCGGCGCCAGCAGGGCAAGACACATGGGGGGAGCCGGTATCAAGGGTAGAGCTGGCAGGGCAAGAAGCTTGGGCGGCTCTGGGATGGCCTTGAAGGACAGAAGAAGTCTTCTTCCTCCTCCGTTTCTGAGAGTGTGGCACTGCAGCTTCATCGGCTGCCTCTGGGGGCACGCTACAGCTTCGTCAGCCGCCACTGCAGGCGCTGCAGTCTCATCAGGCACCGCTGGGAGCGTTGCAGCCTCATCAGCCGCCACTGGGGTAGCTGCAGCCTCCTCGGCCGCCATTGGGGGGCGCTGCAGCCTCCTTGGCTGGAGGGTTCCCCTGACGAGCTAGGTAGTTTACGAACCCCACAAACATCAGGTGATCCAGCCCTTTCATCCTCCACCAATTGAGGGGCTTATCAAGGGCATAATTCAGAAGGTCCTTGAGAGCCGCCTCATTGTAGTGCAGCCCCTCCACAGCACACTCTTGAACTCCATCGCGAATTCCCTCATGTCAGTCCCCCGTTGACGGAGGGAACTCAATGCTGCTACCTTAAGCATGCGTTGGTAGAGGGGGCTGCAGATAGTGGAGGCTGGTAGATGGAGTGAGCCCATCTTCCGCTGAGTCCTCAGTTGGCAGGTTCATTCTGTCACGGACCATGTGGACAGATGAGGCGAGGACTCAAATGCAGGAAGATAAGGGCATTTATTAATAGTAAAAAATAAACAAAACTACAACAAAAACTACCCCGAGGAAGAAGAACGGGCAGGCAGGCCAAGATAGGGCAAGGCAAGAGGAACATACACACATCCGACAATATTCTGAGACATAACATTAAACAACGAACCAGCACAGGACTGCAGACACAAGGAGAATAAATAGGGAGACAAATGAGGAGGGTATGAGGGAGACACAGGTGGAGTAACTAAAACACTAATGAGATAACAAAAGGGATAGTCAGACAATAGACAGGAGAGCACATGGCACCAACAACAAACAACAAGCCATGTGCTCAAAACACACAGTGACATCTGGTGGCCAACTAGGGCACACCAGCAGAACCGTGACAAACACCATTCTATTTATATATATTTAATATAAAATGATAACTGCTTAGACTACTGTTTAGACTAATCACACATGCATATTAACAGAGCTTCTGTTAAATATGTGAATCGATTGACTCTAATTTTGACCTTTGACCTTTATCCTTTAATTCTAATGTTTTGTCATCTGTCCTCACCGCAGTACGAAGTTTATCCACATCATCCTGCAGGCTGTGGTTCTTCTCCTGCTGTATTTCCAGGCTGTCCTGGGCCTGCTGGAGCTGTGTGTGTGCGTGCCGGAGGCTCTCTGAGACGGAGTACCAGCACTCTTTCCATTCCTTAAGCTCTTTCTCCTTCTGGTCAAATCCAGCCTTTCCCAGCTCTTTCTGCAGCTCTGTGATCAGCTCTTCTTGATGCCTGACCTACGCACACATGTAAAGGAAGCTTCATACATGCATGTACAGTGGCCACAAAACATATTTGGAAAATTTAGCCAAATGCATAAATGTTATTGGATTAGATATGAAAATATCAAACCAAGTGCCATTAATTTTAACCCTATTAAGGATACTGTATCATATTTGAAATGCAAATTTCTAAGGCCTACAAATTATTAACATGATCAAAATACTCCACCTCCAGGTTGTGGTACACTTGTTTTTTTGTTTGTTTTTTGCTGTGAAATGTTTTGAAATGTAATTTTTATGAAGTAAACATAAGAATAACTTTTTATTGTTAGTAATATTTCAAGATAAACACTTGACTGAAGTAGTAACTTAGGTTTACTTGATTATCCATACATTATTATTATTATTTATATCGTGTTAAAATATGAGTATCAAACATGAGACATCAGGCTTTTGATGAACAATGAACGTTTATTTGTACATCTGTCAGTCATTACTGTATGGCATTGCATTATATGTTTGAAACTACAGAGTTTTGATCATAAAACTAAGCATTTAAATATCATTTGACTAAGACAGTTTTGGAAGATATCGAGTGACAACTTATATTTATATGAATTTGATATCAGAATTTCATCTTTCTTTGGCCATATGTAAATATCGGCTCCTGCACTAAAATGTATATTTTTGCTGTTTTTTTTTTTTTACACTGTAGACTGACTTGCTGTCTCCAGTTTAGAAACATATCTACTCTGTTTGAGCTTTGGTCCAGTTACGTGTGCTGAGACATTGAGCCATGGTGCTCAAGTGAGAAACTCAAGTTTGAATTCTCTCACTGTACACACACATAAAAGTAGCAAGAAAGCCAATAAACTGAGCTGAAGATATATCAAAACCATATACAGCATGACCATCACAGCTTTAGTCACAAATATATATGCAGAAGCCTTAGCCAGAATCCTCAGTAAGACATTCTATATTTACATACATCTTTTAATGAATGTTGCATCACATGAGGATGCCCATACACATACACAGAAGTTAGTTTAGAAGTGACCTTGTCCATCAACTCTTAAACATACCATCTAGAATCTTTAAATGAGTTTTCCCAGACATCGTCTCAAAGAGCTGTGCTTTATTTATGAACCGATGGACTCCTGTGGTGAAAGGTTCAGCTCATAAAAGTCCATGCGAATGAAATGAGCGTAAGTAAGTGTGAACATATACTGTGGCGGGCACCTCGGTGGACCCCTTTATTAATCAAGCTTTCTGCACTCTGTTTGGAAAGTAATCTTGTCCGAGGAGCAGAGGAAAACGCAGTGGTAAATGGCGGTTGGTTGCACTTTGAAGCAGCTGCTTTACGGAGGTCTCAAAGCTCATGGAGGCCACACTGTAAAAACAAGAGCATCTGAGCGCTCGCCCTCAGGTTACCCTCACCCAAACACGGGTCCAGCCTACCTAAAGTATGCTTCTCTTGTCCACATTTTCTCCAACTCCACTGTCTGTGACATTCACAGTCTGTCCGGCTTGTGTGTGGACAGCAACACAAGTGATTTGAGTGATTAAAAAGAAAGCTCCACTAGATGGGCCAAATGTATCCATTTGAACATTTGAATGTATCCGTAGAACGTTGAAAATAAAACATAGTTCATACAAAAATGAAAATTCGGTCATAAATTACTCACCCTCATGTCGTTCTAAACCCGTACGACCTCTGTTCATCTTCGGAACACAAATTAAGATATTTTTGATGCATTCTGAGAGCTCTCTGACCCTCCCATAGACAGCAATGTAATTACCACGATCAAGGTCCAGAAAGTAGCAAGGAGATCGGTAAAATAATCAATGTGACATCAGGGGTTCAACTGTAATTTTAAAAAGTTACAAGAATACTTTTTGTACGCACAGAAAAAAAACATAACAACTTTATTTAACAATTCGTCTCCGCATCACCCTAGCGTCATTTTGGAGAGTATCCGCTGAACGTAAACAGCGTATGCTGTTCTGTGTCAGCTGCGCCTTATGTTTTCTACGTCATTTATGCTTTGATCTGAACGAAAACAACATATCCGCGTGACGCAGCTGACACAGAACAGTATACGCTGTTTACATTCAGTGGATACTCTCCAAAATGGCACCAGGGTGACGTGGAGGAGACGAAATGTTGAATAAAGTCGTCATTTTAGTTTTCTTTGCATACAAAAAGTATTCTCGTAGCTTTGTAAAATTACGGTTGGACCCCTGATGTCACATGGATTATTTTACCGATCTCCTTGCTACGTTTCTGGACCTTGATCGTGGTAATTACATTGCTGTCTATGAGAGGGTCAGAGAGCTCTCAAGATTCATCAAAAAATATCTTAATTTGTGTTCCGAAGATGAATGGAGGGCGTATGGGTTTAAAACGACATGAGGGTGAGTAATTAATGACAGAAATGTCATTTTTGGGTGAACTATCCCTTACACCTAAAGTCTGCTTCACGCTTCAGCGTCAGAATGGTCAATTAGTGAGGTTAGTTAACTATGTAAACTGTAATAAACTATTTAATATTATTATATATAATACTATATTATTATTTTTATTTAGTCAATTTTCTTATTTATATATTTTATTAGTATTGTTACTACCAAAAAGCCACAAAATGTTGTTGGGGAAAAACTGTGAAAAATAAAATAAAATAAAAAAAGAAATACAATATTTTATAATATAATAAATATAATATAATATAATATAATATTTATTTTAAATAGTAGGTACAAATTATTCTATCTAAAGATATCATATATTTTATTCTATTTACACACACACACATATATTAGTATAGATATTTATATTTATATTTACAGTATAAATAAACATATATAGTTGCCTTTATATTTTAGGAAGAGAGACCTTCTTGACTAGTTGTTTTAGAAAATATGTCGTTTTGCAGCTTTTCAATAGTGGCCTGTTGAGTGGTGACTGGCGTCAGCTGTAACTCCTGATGCTGAGATCAGGCCCCTGCAGCACATTAACATTAGATTTTATTTTAGGGCCAGTCATAATATTAGATGTTGTTTTGATCACTGGTGATTGTGTAGGCGTGCGCGTGGGGTCTTGGTGTTAAGTGTCTAACACGTGCGGCTGCAGCTCTAATTCAAACTATGGCAAGGTTATGACTGGCACTTAACTGCGGTGAGGAAAGCATTGCTTAGAAGCTAATAAGCAGTGGATTGTTGAGAGACCTTGTCCTTGAGTTGCTCTTCTCTCAGTCGCTCCAGCTCCTCGGCCTTTACACAATCCTGCAGCAAAAGAGAGGGAGATATGAAGAGAACAGAGAGGTGCTGAGGGATGAATGTGTAAGAACAACAGGAAAATAAAATAAAGGAAATGCACAGTCCTTCAGAGTGTCCTAGAGAAGATGCTCTACCTGATCATTCCTCCAGAGGTAAACTACAGGAGAATACAACAATGGATTCTTGTTATATTGTGTGCATTGACTGATATCCTCTATTTTTCTTATTCTTTTGTAGTGGAAAACAAAAGCAAGGTCTCATGCAAGGTGTGAGCGTTAATCACAAGCATTGAAACACACTGCACTTTATTTTCTGGGCATGTTTTATAAAACATGCTGTGATGATTGGTTTAGCAGATAACCAAAAATATAAACCCAAAACTAAGATACACAATGAAGCAATGAAACATGACAAAACAGAAGGCTGTCTTTATCTAGGCTACATAGCAAACTGGAACTATAACAAAACACAACATAATAGAAAGATACCATAAACAGTGTTCTTATAGGTTTGTGCCGTTGATTGTAGCAGACAGTGTACGATACTGACAAGATATCATACATTTGGAATGTTTTTACATTGTCCAGTGCTGCATTGTAACTAGAGTGTACGTACATATACAAAACAACACAAAACACATACATACAAACAAACAAATAAAAAAGCTCGAAATATCAATACTTAATTGTATCAATCAAACAAAATAATTTTAAAATGTAATAAAAAATGAATGAAATTAAATCACGATCAAACCATGATCAGATTAAACGATGCCTTATATAACTGAGCAAAGTTTCATAATCAAATTAAATATTTACATCTCTGTACTAAATTTTCTCCTTTCTTTTCTCCTCCCTTTTCTCCTTTCGAAATAATTTGACTATGACAGAAATTCAAAACCGAGATATAGCCTTGATTGGATTCAAGACATTACGGGAAGCAAACAGAGAATGAAAGCTTTTCAACAGGTGCTTGTAATGACGCTGCGTTCCTGCTCTCAGAATACTGAAACCATTAAAACTCAATCTACACTCTCAGGAAAAAAAAAAAGGATCACAGCTTTCAAGACTTTAGGTACTAATTAGTGCTGTCAAATGATTAATTGCATCCAAAATAAAAGTTGTTGTTTATATAATATATGTGTGTTTGCTGTGTAAATTTATTATGTATATATAAATACACACACATGCATGTATACATTTCTAAAAAATATGTTATGTTTACATATTAAATAGATTTATATATAATATAAATTATATTAATATAAATATATACATGCAAATGCATGTAAAAATTTTCAAAATATATACTCTATGTGTGTGAATTTATATATATATATATGAGGTAAAGAAGAACCCAAAGATCACTGTGGCTGAGCTCCAGAGATGCAGTCGGGAGATGGGAGAAAGTTGTAGAAAGTCAACCATCACTGCAGCCCTCCACCAGTCGGGGCTTTATGGCAGAGTGGCCCGACGGAAGCCTCTCCTCAGTGCAAGACACATGAAAGCCCGCATGGAGTTTGCTAAAAAAACACCTGAAGGACTCCAAGATGGTGAGAAATAAGATTCTCTGGTCTGATGAGACCAAGATAGAACTTTTTGGCCTTAATTCTAAGCGGTATGTGTGGAGAAAACCAGGCACCTGTCCAATACAGTCCCAACAGTGAAGCATGGTGGTGGCAGCATCATGCTGTGGGGGTGTTTTTCAGCTGCAGGGACAGGACGACTGGTTGCAATCGAGGGAAAGATGAATGCGGCCAAGTACAGGGATATCCTGGATGAAAACCTTCTCCAGAGTGCTCAGGACTTCAGACTGGGCCGAAGGTTTACCTTCCAATAAGACAATGACCCTAAGCACACAGCTAAAATAACGAAGGAGTGGCTTCACAACAACTCTGTGACTGTTCTTGAATGGCCCAGCCAGAGCCCTGACTTAAACTCAATTGAGCATCTCTGGAGAGACCTAAAAATGGCTGTCCACCAACGTTTACCATCCAACCTGACAGAACTGGAGAGGATCTGCAAGGAGGAATGGCGGAGGATCCCCAAATCCAGGTGTGAATAACTTGTTGCATCTTTCCCAAAAAGACTCATGGCTGTATTGGATCAAAAGGGTGCTTCTACTAAATACTGAGGAAAGGGTCTGAATACTTAGGACCATTTGATATTTCAGTTTTTCTTTTTTAATTAATCTGCAAAAATGTCAACAATTCTGTGTTTTTCTGTCAATATGGGGTGCTGTGTGTACATTAATGAGGAAAAAAAATTAACTTAAATGATTTTAGCAAATGGCTGCAATATAACAAAGAGTGAAAAATTTAAGGGAGTCTGAATACTTTCCGTACCCACTGTATATATATAATAAATATACACAGCACACACACATATATTATGTAAACAAAAACTTTTAATTTGGATGTGATTAATCGCGATTAATCGTTTGACAGCACTAGTACTAATATGTACTTTTAAAAGTACTAATACCTACCTTTAGGGTACTACTATGCAGTGCTGGGTAGTAACTGATTACATGTAATCTGGATTACGTAATCAGATTCTAAAAATTAAGTACTTGTAATTAGATGATATTACTTCTTATATATATGCTCATAATTAGATTACAGTTACTTTTTATAGATTACATGATTACATATTATTCACACAACGGCAGTAACTTATTCATAATTTGATTTCTGACATGACAACTCTCGGAGGGATTGGCATGGTAATGTACATGACAATGTTAATGTATTTGGTCTTGGCAGAATAGATCTGCTACGCTGCTGCTGCTACTGTGGCAGAGCAAGTATCGAGACTTGCTACTGCCAATACATCCACAACATGCTGCTGTGAGCATGTAAGAAATAGGTAATGTACCTCTGAGCGACACACAATGGTGCGGATGAGAGTGTCTTCGTCAGTTCCGGCACCTTTCATAGCGGCATTCAGCCTCCGGGCAAAGTATAGCTGAGGGTTCTTAGCACACCTCACTATGGGTTAGATGGGAAGTGTTAACCAGTGAGCATCGTAGCATTACTATACAAATAATCAAAACCGGGACCTCTAGTATTAGACACTCCAAGGCATTTTGGCTTTGTTCACAATGCACCCAATCTGTGTTTGTATACAGTAATGACTTGAAGGAATAGTTCACCCAAAAATGAAAATATGCTGAAAAATCGGCCCATTCAAGACGTAGATGAGTTTGACTCTTCATCAACAGATTAAAGGAATTTAGCATTGCATCACTTGCTCACCAATGGATCCTGTGCAGTGAATGGGTGCCGTCAGAATGAGACTCTAATAAGACAAAAGTAACCCGCACAACTTCAATCCATCAATTAATATCTAGTGAAGTGAAAAGCTGTGTGTTTATAACAAACAAATCCATCAAGATGCTTTTCTGGCTAAAATATGAGTCTATCCATAATATTACTTTCTCCAGTGAAAAAGTTATCTTGTCTGAATCAGGAAGAAAATACAGTACACACACTGTTTACGAGCGAAAACCGTCCAAAACATTTCTAAACAAATATGTTGTTGGATGGACTATTTCACTGTAGGAAGCATTGATATGGATGATGGACTGGTATTTTTTACCTGAAGCGACGGTTTTAAGTTAAAATGCTTTAATGATGTATTTGTTTCTTACAAACATGCAGCTTTTCACTGGAATGGAGTGGTGTGGATTACTTGTGGGTTATTGTGATGTTTTTATCAGCTGTTTGGACTCGCATTCTGACGGCACCCATTCACTGCAGAGGATTCATTGGTGAACAAATCTGTACTAATGAAAAACAAAATTCATCTACATCTTGGATGGCCTGAGGGTGAACTAGTCTCAATGAAAATGGGTGAATCCAGAGACACTAGAAGGTCTAGAGACCACCGCACCATCATAGTTTTTACTTTACTTCTACTTAGATGTCATGTAATTTCTTTGTTGTTCATACTACAAAAAAATAATAGTTCTGTCATGAGAACTCTTGGAGGGATTGTACCAAGACTTGCTACTGCCAATATAACCACAACATGCTGCTGTGAGCATGTAAGAAATATTGCTGCTGCAAATATAACATGCATGAAATAACCCCCATATAGCATACATGAATCACCTCGTAGCAGATCTATACAGGTGGAGCTGGGGAAGTTGGAGTGTTTCTGAAGCAAGCTGCAACTGCTATGGCAAGCACTAGTCATATATTTGAATGTTGAGCAGCGAGCTCATTGGCTACCGATACAGGAGAGAACCAATCAGCTGTGCCATGTGATGATGTCACTAGGTCAGATTGAGTTAGACCTATCAGACTGCGCCATCTAGAGTTTCATGCCAGAACTCTGTATTTGCCGTCATTTTTTCCCCCTTAAATTTTCCTTCCTAAAATTCTACCCCCTTTAGTTCATTCATGAACCCCAGTTTGGGAAACCCTGGCCTAATGTAATGTTTAATACGCTTCATGATGTTGATAACGAAGAATGGAATATATTTTTGGGTCAAACGTAATCTAAAAGTAATTAAAAAGTAGTCAGTATACATTACCTAATATGTGTAATCCAACAGATTACATTACAAACTATAATTTCCATCATGTAATTTGTAATCAGTAACAGCCTACAATTTGTAAGTAATCTACCCGGCACTGCTAATACAGTATGTACCATTTAGGTGTAAATAAGGTATGAAAAAGTACCTTTTTAGCTTTTGTACCTTAGGGTACCGCCCCAGTGACAGCTTTGTATGGTGTGGAGATAAAGCTGAGAAACCGCACTACTTAGTATGATCCCTGAGCTTCCTCTTAACCCGTGCATTAACTTTACCAAAGCTGTGGCACTTAAAATGAAAGGTCCATTACAATAAGCAGCAGATGTTCAGAGCTCAGGAGAGCTGAAGAAGCGAATGTGAATAATAGCAACGTGTAAAAGTGGAAAACTGTTCTATTTTATTGTGCTGTGTATAACATGCTGTTGTGTTCTGAGCTTTGAGCACCATCAAGAGTACAGCGAGAGGCTTGAGACGAATAAGGGTCAGACGTGTCAAGGATTTCAGAGACCCAGCAGACCTAACCATCAGGGAGCCTTTTACTTTTAAAAAGAAATAAAAAATGACAGATAAAGGAGTGTGAACTTCAAGCTCACTGCGATCCTTACGTTTTCGCATGCCACATGTAAAAGTGCACCCCAAAGTGCATGTACAGGAGGCTATTAAATAGGGTTTTGCTGACCTCTCTCTCCTTTTCAAGCAGTGCCAGCGTCTTGTCAACCTCTCCTTGGAGTTCATCAATCTGGAGCATTTTCAGCCGATGCTCTTCTTCCTACAAACACACACACACAGACACACACACACACACGGACAAAGGCAACTGAAGGTGAGACGCACAGGGAGGAAAGACTTCGTTAAAAGTGTCAAGCGGATGCCTTTGCATAATGCATATCACACCTTTGAGATGATCCATTAGCAGGTTGTGGTGTGGGAGCCGCTAAATAAGCTGACTTGACACCATAGAAAAGACACAATATCCTCTCTTCCTTTCTTTATGTGTGAACAGTGGATGAACAATCAAAGCCCAGTGGGTTTAGATTAGCCCGAACGGGGCCTAGTCATGAGGGGACCTTTAACCCCCACCCCCCGTTTGTTCCTTCTACCCAGACATTGATTTATAATTTTAATATCTCTAATTTCCACCGCAGCGGCGCTTTCCAAATGTCATTTTCCAATTTGTGTCAAACCGCGTGACCATTTTTCTTAATACGGCTTATGACAATCTCAGCGGCAGGGCGGATATGCAATTCAGATGGAGTGTCGTACAGACACGGACGTAGCCGCCGTCGCCTGTTTGTGTGTTTATCTTTATCAATGGCTCGACGTGTTGGGAGGGGGTCGCAGACTAAGAAGCAGCCTGTTTACGACGGGGGGAAAAATTGGGTTTGCTGAGCAAAATGGCTGGAGGGGACGAAAAAAAAAATTTGTCCGTAAATCTGGTAATTACGTTTACCGTAATAAGAGTTATGATGGCGGTAATGATAATCTATTAAAATATGCATCAACATTAAGGGCTGGAAATGGAATGTGGGATGGGCTCGTGGTCGTTATATGAATATTTATGATAATTAGAACAGGGCCTCCCCCTTTTGAGCAGCGTGGACTCTTTTCACAGACTGTGTTGACGCTTTTCCATGCTTATTAACCTCGTAAATCTAGCAACTTTCATATTTTCATTATTAAAAAAATGTATGTACATTTATAACACTATACTTTGTGTTATATAACACTGGTATTAAATTACAGATAACTAGTTAGAGTTTTAAACACAACGTCTGAGGAAGTGATTATGCAGTCTTATCCAAAATATAATTCTTGTGGTTGTGAATGTAAAATCTGGTCAATTTGTTGTCAGTATTCCACTTATATTCCATTCCACTTGTGTCTTCAGCATACACACACACAGTGTATATAATCCATAGCTTGATTTACAATCACATAAATTATTTTATAGTTTAGGTTTTCAGATAAAAAACGTTTTGAAGAACTTCAGAAACAGTTAATAGTGACAGTCAAGCATACAAATCTAAAAGGTCTAATAGTTTTTTTTAATATAAATGCCTATCATTTAAATTAGTTAAAAAAAATTATGAAATTTTGAAAAAACTAATAAATAAAAACTTATCATCAGATTAATGTAATTGTTGTATTTAACTCAACACAACTTTGAATCAAACTGTTTTTGTGTATGTATATACAGTATATATATGTATATGTATATACAGTATATATGTATATACACACATATAAATTAGCATAATTTCAAATTTAAATAAAGAATTAATCCAATGAAACCATGACCAAACCTCAGATTAAATGATGCATTATATCACTGACTAACGAAACAAACAGACAAAAAAATATTATTATTATTATTTTTAAGTTTCCATTCTGTGGCAGTGTTTTTGATATTGATAATATTCATCAATCTTTCATGACCCCCAGAATATTTAGTTGTATGAATATGTAAACAGCGAAGATATGAAAAGAAAGAACAGAGCCTGTTATTAAACAAACAAACAAAGAAACAACACATTTTATTAGCTTCATTCTTTTTTATCCACACTTAAATGTGGGTAAGTTCCATAAAAAAAAAAAACATTTTATGGTGTTGGATGTTTGGCCATCATGTTAGCTTACTGGTCCATGAACAACTTCTATCTACTCCTTTTGGTTTACACAGATTTTCTTCTTCACGTGTTTTTGGATCTGGAGATGCTGTACTATTTCATTAGGTCTGTAACAGCGCCCCCTACCATATAACAGTGAAAACTGTGATTGCTGGAATAATTCGTCAATGACGGGGATGCGCCTTGTCTTAAATTATAGAAGATTTCGTCAATGGCAGGAAAATAATGAATACGGCTTATTACGATCTCAGCACTAGGATGAATATGCAGTGTAGATCGAGTGTCGCACAGCCAAGGATGGGGCCGTCATGGCCTGTTTGTGTGTTTGTCTGTCTTTATCAGCAGCTCAACATTTTGGACGAGGCAAATTTTACATCTTTTTTTTTCTTCTGACCAGTGTAATCAATCTCTCAATATTTTGTCATAGAAATACTATGGTCGATTTTATCTTTTGGTACTGGAGCAAATGGGACACAAACATTATTTCTGTTGTAGTTTCCATTCACCACTATAGTAGTTTACCCAACTAAGGCAACTTCCACTTCTGAGAAATGTGAAAAGGCTAATGGGAAGAAAGGTTTGGCGGCGGTACCTTGAGGTTGGCGCGGTGGAGCTCCTCTCTGACGCCATTGAGCTGCTCTTGAAGGAAGGATCTCTCTTTCTTCCACTCTTCTTCTCTCGCTTTCAGCTCCTCTTGTGTCCTCCAGAGCCGACACCATTCCTGTAGGCACACACACACACACACACACGCATTATGGGTCATACAAAAGATTAAAAGTGAAGGAAATGGATTCTATGATCCCTCATTCAGGACAAATTCAAAGGCCCCTTACAGTACAGCCCCTTAGCTAACAGTAGAACAGTTCACCTCTACTGACCTTTACCTTCAGCTTTCATGCGGTTATTGACCCACGCCAAGCGACGCTCTGAGTCTTGCTTCTCGGTCGGAAAAAAAAAAGGCAAAAAATAAAAGGAACAAGTTGTCGGAAATGAAATTTCAATTCATCCAGTCCCTTTATACACTGGTGCAAGAGCTGGCGAGGAGAGCAGGGGGATCAATAGTGTTTAGACAGCAGAGCAGATTTTCTAAGAGCCGAATCAATAGGAAGGAGAGAGGGAAAAATACCTCGGCTTTTCTTTGGGTGTTGCAATAAATACGAACAAATCAGTGGCCTTAGGCTAAATGGATTGACCAGCCGTTTCCGACTCCTGTGCTGTAAATAAAGATCTATTGGGAAAGCTGTGCCCGGGTCCCTGAGAGGGGGGAGAGATGGCCACAGTGCCGAAGCACTCTCACACACACCTGCGGCGAACTGACACACTCAGGAACCGCCCTCAGACGTGACATCATCGTGACATCATTAATCATGCGCTGCGGTGATCCCAACAAAACACTTACTGCTGTTTTTCTAACTTTGGGTCCCAGGGCTCTTTTATTAAAACTAACAGATTTATATATGAAGATCGGATTAAAAATGGCTTTATCATGCCTTTATTAGTAACTTTTGCTATTTTTCAAAGGCCTTGACCTTTGAATGTACAGGCTTGTTTTACCCTTGTCCCAGATCCAGACTATCCATCTTCAACTATGAAAATCCATGATAAAAATATGAAGTTGTGGCATCATTTTCAGCATGAACAATTACTCACTTTACTTAGTATTAAAGGTAAACAAACAAACAAACAAGGTAAATAAAAAATAAATAAATACATATTTTTTTTTATTGTTCATTATTTCCAATCCAGCTGCTATTTTGTCAAATTATGCAAAAATACTATTATTTAATTGTGAACAATGAAATGAGCCCAGATGAGCATTATATATAGATTATTATTATTATTAAATTTGAATGTTTTAAATGTAATTTCTTTTACAGAATGTTATTAAACATATGTAATTTCAGATTTGGTGGGAATTTGAAACAAAACAAAAAAAATAAAATAACATAAAATAAAATAAAATAGTTAGTGGATAAATGAACTATCAAGAGTGTTAAAAAAACATAATAATATGGGCATAATTTTAAAAATTACCCTACTATATATATTCGTGAAAATTATTATATTTTGCATTTTTGAGATGTAATTCAAATGTTCATTACTATATTGTTATCATAAGAATATAAATGAACGTTGAAAAAATTCCATAATTTTCAGAATGTCTTTTTAATTCAAATCTATTTATTTCATAATGTTTATTTGTTTAAAATGTCCAGCTCTATTCTGAACCGCAGACTTTCAGCGTGGTCTCAGACTTTTGGATCTCACTGTACATTTATTTTACATTTCCACCCAGCACTTCTGAATGATAGTTCTCTCTCCATTACAGCTGTTGCCGTGAGGAGAGTGATCCTTAATGAAGAGGTTGAACTTGGCCACCTCCGTGACTTTGGTCTAATTACTGATGAACACCACAGGCTAGCGAGGTCAAACTGTGCAGACGTGCATGATATATGAGCGCGCTCCGCACTCCTCAGCCAAAACAAAAACATATCACAAAAGCCAAAGCAATAAAAGTACCGTCTCGCTCCAAAAGAAAACATTAATCAATAAAATGGAGAGAAATGTGGAAATAAAAATATGAACTGTGCTACTGACCCTCGCAGCAGGACTTAGGGTGGACTCTCTGGCTTGCCATGTTTGGACAGGTTACATGGATTAAGATCTTCTACACAGTGTCATGATCAGCCCATTCCACAAAGAGAATGAGTGAGAATGACTGAAAAATAAAATACAAATAAAATATTTTATGTGCTTTAATTTGTTATTTACTTTACAATCTTTTTTTAAATTTAAATCAGATTTAGTTTTAATCATTTTAAATGCTTCAACTTAAAATAAAAAATATATAAAATTCGGTGTAAAAAATTCTAAAAATAAGTAAATTTGTTATGTGCTTTATTTAATTTTTTGTTTTTTAAATATTTCGATTTAGCTTTAAGTTATTATTTTAGTGTTATTAAATTACTACTTCAACTTAATAAAATAAAATGTAATAAAAATTATATTCTATATGTAAAAATATATATTATATTTATATAATAATAACTATTATATAAAACAGTCATTTTGTTATGTGCTTTATTTAGCTTTTTCTTTTCTTTTTTATATTTCAATTTAGCTTTAATTTAGTTTTTATTTCAGTTTATTTTAATACTTCAATAAAAAGTTAAAATTATGAAATTATATATTTATACGCAAAAAGTACAAAAAAGTAATTGTATGTGCTTTATGTAGCTTCATTTTATTAGTTTTTTTGTTTTGTTTTAATTATTTCGATTTAGCTTTAATTTATTAATTTTTTTTTGTTTTAGTAAAGTTAATACTTCAACTTAAAAAAATAAACAAATAAATAAATAGAATAGAATTAAAAAATAAATGTGTGAAATCTTTTTTTAAATCCACAAGGGGGAATTTTTTTTTTCATAATTCATAGTATCAGTGTGTCATTGCCACAAGTACAAAGTTGAAAATTTCTACTTCCCAAGCTGAACTGAACGTGGAACATGCTAAGCAACAATTTTATTAATGAACACAGGAAGAGGCTGTGCTTGTACACAGGAGATCTTTTTTGACTTTGTGAAGAGTCGTTTGGTTCAGGATATGTTTGCATATTCAGTGCTGATATATTCTGCTGCAAAGGTCACTGTAGATTGGGCTGAGACTGTAGACGGACACCACAGTTCAGCTAAACGCCCTCTCAAGAACATTACCTTAATGATACCATTCTCACACCCGATCAGAGCCAGAGAGAACGAAATGAGTCAAAAAGGACATTCTTTGACCCAGATTCCTTGATTGGAGAGAGATGTTAAAAAGCACCCTTTCAAAGTCTGCCTTAACAAACCAGGAAAGTTCAACTTCCTAAAGTTTTTAAGAGGACATATTTGAACTAAAACCCGCTTGGACTAAAATAGCCCATGTTTATTGCCTTGACTCATGCAACTACATGTTCAGGATACGTATTGGTTTAGTACTGACTTCATTACATGTTCATTAGTGTTGCTTTACTATTATTAATGCTCTTGCTAATCATTACATGGCACTTTAGAAAATTTGATTTTGATTGGTTGATAATGGCATTCTGCGGTCAAATATTTTGAAAATGACCACTTGATTGTATATTTGACCACTCTTTATCAGTTGCTTCATGCTGGCATCCTGATTTTGTCTTATTGACCAGCTGGTAGATTATTTTTTTACGAAATAAACTTAAATAAACACCCTGTGCACTATAAAGCCAATGCTATGAAAATGCATGACAGATTTGTATGGTTTATCATCAGACACTTTGGAAACACAAGAGCTCCACTGGACACAGTAATTTCATCCAAACAGTCCTCACTGTGAGGTCCGTCTGCAGATGTTTCCGCAGGTCCGGACAGTAGCTTGTGTCCAGAGGCACTCCGGCATGCAGCCGCCCCGGGCCATTCTCTAAGTGCTCTTTACTGTGAAAACACAGCTGGTCTCTGGGGGCCAGGATGAGTGCGGGGCCTCCCAGACCTGCACAACACTTTTAATAATAAATCCATACATCATAAGGACACGTCAGAGCTTGATTCACGGCAGTAAAGCGCTGAGGTATTAGCTTTAATAACACAGGCTGGAGTCAGGCACTTGCTCTTTCCCGACAAACACGGGCAAATCAATTAATTCCACTGACATTCCCCCCGAAAGCACACAATATAAATTCCACATGGCCACGACTTTCGTGTTTTTGTAGGAAGAAGGGGCGAATGTGTGAGTCATTTCTTACTTTTATGCCCTGATTTCTGAAATATTCTACCGGCTAGCACATTTGTTTTTGTTGAGAACTTTGTCTTAAAAGGTTATAGGATCTGGAGCGCAGGAGAAAGACAAGTAGCTCGAGCTGAATCTCTCTGTTACCAGAAAGCATAAGGTGCTCTATTCTCCTGCTGTTGATATTCTGCACATAATGATGGATAGAAGCATCAGCCTGGCCTATCAATCCCCAGAGACTTATGTAGCATCGCTTCAAGGGTAAAACATAGCTCAGACTCGGAACGCTAGTGCTAATGGCCGTAGGAAGGAATCAGGGGAGTCTGGTTGCAAACACTGAAGGATGACAATAATAGTGACAAGAGAACTGGAAATCACTAGAATCTTTTGAAATGGACTCAAAGTTTGGACGTCACCAGCTTGGGTCACACTACCATTCAAAAGTTAGGGGTCAGTAAGATTTCTTCATTTTTTTTGTAAAGAAATGTATATTGCAAAGCTGCATTTATGTGATCAAGAATACAGTAAAAACAGTGAAATGTTATTGCAATCTAAAAATCCTTCAGAAATGATTCTAATAAGCTGATTTGCTGCTTTTTAATTGGAAGTGTCACTTAAGGTGATGAAGCTGGATTTTGAAACATGCTAAATGGTTGTTATTATTTAGCAAGACTGTAACCACCTAAATCAGTGATCAAAAAAAGCATTTTGGCAATTCTAGGTAATTTACCATAGAAATATGATGTTTTTCAAATTTATGGCTTGTTAAGCACCACCTATAATCCGATCTCCATAAAAGTTGGCATGCTTCTTTAGTATCATATGCAGCATGTGCTCACCTAGTTTCGTGAAGTTTGGAGTTTTCCTTTAGGATTTATACGCTTTTGAGTAGATTTGGCCACAACCATTTTAAACAACCCTGGTAGGCTAACCAAAGTGTAAAGTAAATTTGCAGCATGCCAAATGACAGTGGCATCACAG